AAGCAACACTGCCTAGAGGTCAGGGCAAAAAGTTGGTGGGAGCCTTGCCTTTGGGTCTTGCTGCATTTCTGACTTCTTTGTGGGAGAACACTCACATCTGGTATCTCCTGCCAGGCCAGTTTTTCTCCTTCAAGAGGAATATACTTATAGCCATTTCAAGAAGAAAAATGGATTATGTTAAAACTCAGGAGGTAATGCACTTGTCTTATCTCCCAGACGTTGGCTTTCTGATTGCTATTTGAACGCGTTTTCCCCAACACCAAAGCTACTGGGGGAAAGAGGCATTCACTTAACACCAGGAGCTATACATAACCAAGATATTGCCTTGGGTGCCTAAAGTTCTATATCCAGAGTCCTTCTGCAAAAAAAGAGAAAAAAACATGAATTAGTGAAAATCTTTGACTTCAGCAATTACCGTAAGCCTTAGTGGGAGACTGAAAGAATAGAATTGATCAAGTCAAAGTAAGTTCTCATACTAGTCAACCTAGTGACTCCAGAAGCAATCTTATTAAACAACTGAGGCCAGCCCTGCGCCCCAAAATATTATTTCCTATATATAGTACTTTCCATGGCTGGGAGACCCTCCCCTTTAAAATGCAACTTTTCCAGTCCATGGCATTATTTTTGCACAATACATGTGAACAACTGATTTCTACAAAACATACTTAGGAATCTAATAAAGTGTAATAAGGATGGCCTAATTTGCAGCTCACCGTGCAGCATTACATGGTGCAAATGTTAAAATGCTCTTAAGGGACCCAGTCCACCACTTAATTCATCCAAATCTGCCTTGTCTTCAAGGCTTTGCCCGAAAAACTTTCCCTTCAATTTCCCAAAGGCCAACCCTAGAGACACCCTGATCAAGGCTCCTGATTACTTACAGAAGTAATTTACTTACAGAAAGCCTTGCTTATACCTTTGTGTAATTACTGTATAAGTCTTTGAGCTACAGCAGCAACAAAGGTTATTGATGGTGCTTCCCCTCTCCCTTGCACTGCCTGGTTTGACTTCCTATGGCTGAAAGTGCTAGCAGGGCTGAAAGCTAGGCTGCAAATCAGCACCCCTTTTAAGGCCAGCGACAAATGCTCTATTTGTTTGGTGCTGAACTAGCCCTGGGTTTGACACAGCGATTTCAGCCACAAGGTCAACACAACCGGTCTCTCATCTCAAAGCTGGAATGCGTACTGTACATATGAACTCTGTGAGGAAGACTTTTCATCCTTCAGGCACCAGAACAAGAATATAAAAAGGGGTACCAAAGGTCCTTTTGAGCTGTAGCTTTGAATTTGGAATTAGGCTACATTAGGAAGAAAGGTGGACGTGTATTTAATATCTTTCAAGGAAAAGATATTTAAGAAACTTTGGAGTAGAGAAATGTTGAAGAAAAAGCGTAAATACCTCCCTCTCTTTTAAATTCTGCCTTGACACATCTTTGTGTTTGTGGTTTGTTAACATGTGCATTCTTGCACTTATTAATATATCCTGGGTAATTTGATCCTTAGTAGTCATCGTTCTATTGAGATTGCCAGATCCCATAGGATAAACTTCTACAATCAGGAGCTTTTCAGGGATTTTTGACTACAACTCCCATCTTTGACATAGCTGACTGAAAATTCAGCCCTACTCCAATGCAAGCAGCAGATTCAAGGAATCTACTAAAAAAAGCTTATTCTGGCTCAGAGATCATGTCTGGGTGTTAAAAGGACAATGTCTTGGACAGGAGGCTTTTTTTTTTTTGCTCCAACTAGGAAGTTCTGAATTTAGGGCATCTTCAAATATTAATTGCTTTCAATTGATCTGTGTCACTTTTTATGAGCAAGCTTATGAGTACATCTAAAGGTCTGATATAAATACAAGAATTTTAGGCTAGATCTGGGAGTTTAAAAAACCTGGACAAACCACTTCTAAATGTTTGCCAAAAAAATGACATTGACTTCTCTATGTAGTTACCTAGAAGTCCAGCTAAGCTCAAAGGAGTCTTTAATCACCTTGTAACTCTTCTAGGAACATCCCTCTAGGATACAATAATTCAGTTTCAGCATGTGGTGGCGCCATTGATAGTTCTTTATGGAAATCAACCTTACACTGTGAAATATAGTCTCCAAAATGCATCCTTAAATGAAGAGTTCCTCCAACTTTTTAATTTCTGAATAACAATTCCTTTTTAAAATTTTCCTTTGCATTTTAAAGAAGCATCAGGTCTCCTGCAAATTCTCTAAATGACAAATGTAATCTATTTGGCAAATGAATTGTATTCGGAAAATATTTAATATAGAATACCAAAAATAACTCGACCTCCCACATCACTGCTTAAAAATCTTTTTTTCGTGGTTGCATTCACACAAATTTAACATAACCTGAGTTTATTCAGATCAATTTCCTGGTTTGCAAAACACATTAAAACATGCATTAGCAATATGAATTGAATTCACACAACATACCAGGCAAAATCTGGTTTTGCAACCCTATACCTGCAAATACGTATATTTTTGTGGAAAATAGATAGGGTATTTTTTTATCCAAAAGTAAAAGAAGTGAGTTTAGTTACATTAGTTTTATTGCCAGGACTAAAACTCTTCTGTGTGATATAATAAAGCAGTAAAGAAGCCATTATCTATTGAATACAGTAACTTAAGAGAAAAGGAATCCTTTAGAACCTGATTATATAGTTATTTTTTAAAATAGATTTATCTACAGTCACTGAGTGTTTTATTCTGCCACAGCTGATTTCAGCCCAGTACAGCTACCTACACACTTTAGATTATAATTCTTTTTCAATACGTAGCTACCAAACAAAGGTGGTAATATAAGATTGAATCAACATATTCATCTAAGGACAGGTTCATAGCATCATTCATTCCTTCATCTTTTTTTAATTAATCCTTAATCCAGGTAGGCCTCCTTGAATGAAAGACTATTAGATTTAGGATATTTTAGGAATGTAGGCATGACTTGGGAAGTGAAAAAAATATATACTTGGAAGGAGGAAGTAACAAACTATTCCTGAAGAGCAAGATTGTCTCATTGTCTCTATGTTACTTTTTTTCCATCCCAGTTCAGCTAGTTGTTGTGTTGTGTTGTATTGTAATATCGATTGTAGCAGGAAATAGAATCTCTCTAGTTATCTCAGCTTTGTTCTCTCTTCTCCGCTACTGAACTTGTGCAAGCTGAAATTCAAGTCAGAAGATGTTCACTGAGTTTCCCCTTCTGTTTAACATTCTTCACCCATATTTGGAATTTCACACCCCATGTATGAATTTGAAATTCAAGTGCCATCTTTCCCATCTCTTCTAAATTTCTTGCTGAATGCAAACAGGATAGCCAGTGAAAAGTTGTACAATCTGTACCTTATCCCAGGCAAAAAGCTGTCCTTGGTTAACTTGAGCTTAGTTTATCTTTTCATCCTTCTGCATACTGAGGAAAAGGTGTTAGAATTTAGTATTTGAAATTACCAAAAAACTTTTACCTCCAGTGCTATCTTTAGAATATGGGGGACACTGGATAATAATTGTATTCATTCAAAAGAAGATGTAGAAATGTTCTTGCTACATTCAAGAAATTGCTTACTGGTTGGGTTGAGGCAGAAGTGGAAAATCTGAGACATTGTAGATACTTGTGAAATACAACTCCCAACAGGCATGGCCAATGATTAGAGTTCCTCGATCTTAAATAGAGTCCAAATGATGTGAGAGTTTAGGACAGTTACATCTGTTGTAAAATTTCCTCTGAATTTCAACTGTTTTGCTTAATTCAGTCCATTCACAGATTTTTTTTCTTGCAACATGATTTTGAATGTTTCTTTAGTAAAATGCTTCTTACTACTAACAACTTGAGGTTTCTGCGTATACTTAAGAAGGATCCAACTCTGTATGTCATGGAAAACACAGAATGTATAATATTGGTGTTATTCCCAGACAGAGGTTTCTAAATAAAGTATCAAACTGGGCATTTAGGCTACTAACAAAGTTGGTGGCAAAATACATTGCCCTAATGAGTACACTAAAGAATACACAAAAATACACAAAGCCCAAAGGAATTTCAATTTTATAATTTTTGTCTGTTCAACTTCATCTTCCAAAGATCTTATGTCTTCAAGTTATTTATTTTGCAGCATAGCAGTTCACGAATCTGCTTTCATTTGCATGGTGGTGGAGAGTGGATGTAATTATGCCTTCTGCTGAAACAGGTTGTACGGAGATATTTTTATTGGTCAGAAAGGAAGTGCTGCAAAAGAGAATGATATTTGTAGAGAGAACATTACCTATATTAGTTATCTAATATACTAATCATGACAGATTTTACATTCTGAAATCCAAATTAAGCATTCTTGTTCATCTTGCATTCAAATTTAGAACAGGGAGATTAAGAAGAGATTCTCCAGCAAGGGAGATTCCAATTTCCAATTCAAAAATCTCAAAATAAAAAAGGGTCTATTCCCCATCACATTCTGCTTCAAACCAGATAGCAGAATATATACAGAGGCTGTACTTGTGGCACCCTGGTCCTAAACCATTTATTAAAACCAGTACCATGAATCCACAAATGGATCAGAACTAGTGAAGGTGCTGTAAAGCTACTAGTATATATGCCATACACTAGATTCCATACAGTAGATACTGTCATTTTTATATTATCTGTGGCTTTTGGACTCTCTTCAAACAACCTTTTGGAGTGTATCATGCAGGAATATTGGAAGAATAAGTAAAATATAAATCTTTGCTTTATTTTTCTTTATCAAATTTATACGGTGGCCTCTATCACAAAAAGCAATTCTGAGTCTCATACAATAATATGTTAAGTCAATATATAAGGACAATCATTATTAAAATTATAAAACAATCATAGAGGGACTCTGGACAGTATACAATTAAATACTAACAAATATAATATTAACCACAGTCATTGACCCATCTCAGAATTTTCCCAGTCCCTGGAGATCCCCAGATCTGGTGGCAAAGCCAGATCTTTAGGGCTTCCTGAACATTAGCACGGATGGAACTAACCTCACTTCAGGAGGCTGAAGGAGAAGAACATTTCATAAGATAGGCACCATGGTATAGAAGACACATTTTCTGGCACCCACCAGTTGGAACCTGAACTATGTCTTCTATACCATATCTTATGGGACAGGCAGCTACATTTGGGGAGAAGCAGTCTCTTGGATAACCCAATCCCATGTCATGAGAGGGTCTAAAGCATTATGAATTGGACTTAGAAGCAAAATGGCAATCAATACAGCTTATGGAGCACTGTGCCATTTTAGTGGCACATATGCCTGGTTGCTGCATCCTGCATCAGTTGAAGCGTGCAGATACCTTTCAAGAGCAACCTAGGATTCCTAATGAAAAGAAGAAGAAATTCCATTCTATATTCATGCCTTGAAGAATGACGATCAAGTAGACTTGCTAAAATTATTGGATTGTTAAGTGTAATACTTGTATATGCAGGATTATATGAATGAAGTAATCTGGTCCTACAACACCATGATTGATATTTAGAAATATTTAAGACAACACTAGACCTCCAAGCCATCCTATGAAGGAAAATCACATGCACCATGATGATACAATGGAATTAAACCTAATAATGTTAAAGCTGGCAATTAAATGTCTTATGGAAATATGGAAAAAGTAAAACATGAGATAAGTCATTCCAGATGCCATATTGCATTTTGTCTCTGGCAACTGAGGAAGTTGAAAAGCCAATTGATTGGTTTGTTTATAGCAAAATATTGCCGTAATTATACAGCTGTGCAATGTTACATGCACATGTTTGTAAGAAAATGAAAATGTCCTTATGGTCATGTGTGTAAATTCATGCACTCAGTCTTTTTCAACCTTGATGCCCACCGAGTGCATGGATTTCAGTTTCCACATTTGTTATCCCTGGCCAAGCTGACCAGAAGAGTCTGAGAATTGACATGTCTGGATTAGAGAAGATGGAATGAGCTACATACAATCAGAAGCTGCAGAATCTAATGATGAACACAAGATCATGTTGTTTGAGTGTACTTTATTTTGGTATTCTTTTGTATTTCTATAGTATGGACTTAGACTTACAGCCAGATTCACACATTGTTGTAAACCGTAATGGGAATGGCTTGTCTATGGTTTAGCCATGTGTTCTACGAATACTGTCAACAATCCAGTCAAATTGTATGGTCAACAAATTATAATTAAGGCACAATATGAGCAAGTACCATTTTTGCACAAATAGTCACTGCTAGCCACTTTTTCTCTCCAAAACACTTGGTTCCGTTTTCATTCTTACTCAGTTTTTAGCTTTGCTTTACCACCTCTTCTTAATTGTCAGCAGTATTCTATAATCAGATTATACAATAACTGCCTACTAACCACATTCTTTGGAGTTTTCATTCTAAAGATGACTTGTACTCCAGCGAGCTTCAGTTCTCTCTCAGCCTCCTACTCTTGGACAGTTGATGCCATCCAAACTATATAAGAACTGTCTTTCCTGCCTAAACATCAAAAAGTAGAAATAATAATATGCTATTAATTATATGGCATAATTATGGTATAATATAATTAACACTTAATTCTATTCCAACAGAATCATTGTAGGGATTATAACAAGATAAGCAAAGCAATTTAAGCATTGAGAACTGCTGTTGACGTGTCAACTAATATTATAAATTAAAATTAATTAAGCAGCTAAATTTACTGCAGGGATGAGCCTTTTCATGGATCTTAACCACTTATGATGCTATTGTTAAAATCCATAATGTCAGCAAGATGGAACAGTTTTTAATTTTTCTCAGTAGGAAGTTTCCAATTTAGGGAAATTCATCGCATCCCTGCAAATGAAGACTATCCCTTATGATACAAAGATGAGGAGACTGTATATCTCCAGCTGTCACTGAATATCAATCCCAGCTGTCCCTGTTAGCATGATCCATAATGGGGCATTCTGGGAGCTGTAGTCTTGCAATATCTGAAAGCTTCTGAGGTATGTCTATAAGACCAGCACATTATAATGGTGTTGATGAAAAACACTACGATGGATAAGTTTACCCAAACATTAAACCACACAAAAAGACTCTGCTGCTCTCTTCTCATGGCCTCTTGTCATTGCACCAAAGCAATATTTCCAGGGAATTCAAGAGAAAATGGTGGAATAGCAAAAGAGAAATAAGCCATGCCTCTCTGGCTCCCTCCTGTCTCATCCCTCCTCCTCCTGGAGAAGCAATTTATAAATCTGCCAGGACAGTGCAAGAATTGAGCTCATACCTTTAAATCTGTATGTTAGGAGATCTAACTAGTGATTATGGGAATTTAGGACTTTCTTTGAACAGCCTTTTTTTAAAAAAAATAATAATAATCTGGCAGAGCTGGGATTGCCAAAGGGTGAATGAGGGGAGAGTAGGGCAGCTATGTCACATGTGTCAATTCCTTTTTTTGCTTCTCCAGGAGGTTCAGAAACCAAGCAAAGAGAATGACGAGAGCTTCATATTTCCAAACACGCTTAAGATTAGAAACGTTTCTTTGTATCTTCTCTTTCAGCTCATTTTATGCCTTTTTTGATGACTGGCAAGCAATAAAGAACACTCAAATAAAAACAAATTCTATTTTATTAAGGGTGGACAGTAGTTTGTAAGCAGATATCTAGTATCAGACAAGGACAGTACTGTAATGAGCAGCTTCCCCCACCCAATGTGGCAATGTGCTTTGAGGATACTTCCTCTTTTTCAAATTATGTTGGGTTACCATTTCCAATATCTCCAGAAAGTATGATCCATACCAGCTAGGAACTGCAAAGAACTGCAGTTCAACCCTCTAGTCCACGTTTTAGAAAGGATGTTATCTTAGGGAAAGATGCAAGTGGTAGGAACCAGTGAATAAATACTATCTACAAGTTGTAGCTAAGAGTAAAAATGTGGCTATGATGGCAGCATGATCCATGTAGCACACAGATGGTGTCAA